AAGAGAGAGGCTACTCCAGGAATGTAGTCGATCCCTCTGCACAGAAAGCCCAGCCCTGAGCTCTGGCAGCAGCCACCCTCTTGGCATCACACATGGGACTGAAACAGGGCCATCCAGAGCTAAGAGCAGGAGCAGCTGCAGCATGAGCTAAGGGTCATGGCTCTGCGGGTAGGGGGTGTGACAGTTCATCCCCTGTGCATTGACAAGACACAAGGTCCGGGAACACGCGCACAGAGCAATACAGCAATCTCTGTATATCAAGTCTTGGGTAAGTCTCCCCACTGTAGCTCTGTGCTAGGCACAAGATCTCATTCTCCGTGCTTCTGCTGTCAGGTTGGCGTTTGGCCAGTACCCCATTCTACTTGAACAGCGACTGTGGGAAGGGTGTGACACCGATGTTTCCCATGGACTTTACCACCGAAGTGAAATGTTCTAAGAACTCTGTATCTTTGAAGACTTTTTTTCAGACATGCCACTAATGGAGAGGGAGCAATAAATGTCCCAGTGGGTGGGTTTGGGACTTTGGAGATATGGGGTCTATTCTGTGCTCTGCCACAGACTTCCTGTGTGACCTTATGCAAGTCACGTAGGCTTTGTCTACTCATAAAAGTTTGCTGATATAGATACCCTGGTAAAGCTACACCGGCAAACCCCTCCAGTGGAGATGCAGTTTGTTCTGGCAGAGGAATTAATTAGACTGTATTGTTGAAACCAGTTTCCTTACTGGAATAAGCTATACTAGTAAAAGTACTTTTTTTTACCAGTATATTTACATCTATACTAGAGCTTCTGCCATCCTATGTTGTTTAGAGGGGTGATTTTTTTTCTCCACACTGGTAACAGACAAAGCTCTGTTGGTAAAACTTTGAAGGCCGACTAGGCCTAAGCATCTGCATGTCTCACTTCTCCCATCTGAAAAGGGTGATAATAGGATAATAGCACTTCCCACATCACAGGAGTCTTGTGAGAGGATAAATGCATGATTGTGAGATACTCAAATACTATGGTAATGGGGGCCAGATAAGTACCACAGATAGAGCCAGTTCCCCTCACATCAGATTTCAATTTAGCTCACCCACAATAGTCAGATATCACATTTAATTTGAAAGGGTGCTCCTCTACCACACCCATTGGCAGGGATATCAGCAATTTTTTTAAAAAAACCGGTGCTCCTCTACCACACCCATTGGCAGGGATACCAGCAATTTTTTTTTAAAAAAAAAACCACGCAGAATCCAACCTGAAATATCAAGTGCCAAATTTTCAGCCAGCCCCAAACCAGCCTTCTTGTTTGCAAAATACTGATTGTGTCTCTGAAATGGGGCACCCTTCTGGTTTGTGCATACAGGATTTGCACTTGCAGGTGTTGGGGGTGCACAATGTGACTAATTTTACAGGCACAACCCCCTCTGAGCACAGAAATTTGGAGTTAAAAATGAAATTCCCAGCCCTCTTCTTTTGTGCAGATAGTTTTATCTGTACAAGTCAATGGACTGTTGCCCTGTTAACCCAGCCCTGCAGAAAGCTGTCTCCAGACAAACAATAGCAGCAGCAGTGCAAGTGTGAACTCATCCCTCCCCTCCATTCAGTTCAGGGTTTTACTGTGGCTGTTTAAATGATACCATTATTAAGCAGGGCCAAGCCCGTCTCCGGCCAAGGCTACACTACAAATTTTTGTTTGCAGTTATGTCAGTCTGTGACTTGTGAACAACTGGGGTAAGCCATAACTTACACTGGTGCAGCTTGACCTGGGGTGAGTCCAGGTCTGCATTGGGATTTGCACCTCTGCAGCTTCAGTATTGTAGCTATATTGATGTCTAAAGTCAGTGCACATAAGGCCTAAGAACAGGACTCAGTGGATACGAGGACCTCTCTTCTAAGTCGGCTTGATTTTTCACTGGCATGATTCACTGGGGTTATAAAGTGAAAAAAAATCAGGTTCAAACTAGAACTAGGGGTCACCAAATGAAATGAATAGGTATCAGGATTAAAACAAACAAAAGGAAGTATTTCTTCACATAGCACACAGCCAGTCTGTGGAACTCCTTGCCAGAGGATGTTGTGAAGTCCAGGACTTTAAGGCTGTGTCTAGACTGGCAAGTTTTTCCGCAAAATCAGATGATTTTGCGGAAAAACTTGCCAGCTGTCTACACTGGCCGCTTGAATTTCCGCAAGAACACTGACGATCTCATGTAAGATTGTCAGTGTTCTTGCGGAAATACTGAGCTGCTCCCGTTCGGGCAAAAGCCCTCTTGCGCAAATCATTTGCGCAAGAGGGCCAGCGTAGACAGCACAGTACTGTTTTGCGCAAAAAAGCCCCAATGGCTAAAATGGCGATCGGGGCTTTTTTGCGCAAAACCGCATCTAGATTGGCCACGGACGCTTTTCCGCAAAAAGTGCTTTTGCGGAAAAGTGTCCTGCCAATCTAGACGCAATTTTCCGAAAATGCTTTTAACGTAAAAGTTTTCCGTTAAAAGCATTTCCGGAAAATCATGCCAGTGTAAACGTAGCCTAACAATGTTCAAAAAAGAACTAACTAAATTCATGGAGAATAAGCCTCAGAACTGTCATTCATGCTTAAATTTGACACTCTATGTATGGGCCTTAACAAAGATGCTAATTATCTCACCCATTACAATGATAGCTTCCCCAATTATCACCCCCTAATATCATTACCTCGCAGACACTAACCTTCTCCTTTCACCTTCCCCCTCCCCCGGTTTTAAAATCTGATTTGTTAATTTTATATGTGTTCACTTTTTCTGATTGTATCACTTTGGTATATATGGTCTTGCCAATTTTCTTCCACAAATTGATCTGAGGAAGTGGGTCTGGCCCACGAAAACTCATCACCTAATAAACCATATTGGTAGTCCTGCTGCATAGTCCTGTCTTTTGTTTCTTCTTAATGATTACCAGTTCTTTTTATTCTCTCTGGAGCACCTGACATTGGCCACTGTTGGAGGACTGGATACTGGGCTAGATGGACCTTTGGTCGGACCTGATATGGTCATTCTCATGTTGTTTTCATTATGTTCTGTTTTTTTCAGCTCCTCCTTACTCCAAAGTGAGTATTTGATCAGCAGTTGTCTGAAAAAGGACTTTCCTGCCACATTGAACAGGAAGAAACATCTTTTCATCCTATCCCTATCTGTAGCCCCATTTATCATGGGATCTCCTTGTCAGCCTCCTCTTAGCTCTGGCCGAAGCAGCCATCTATAGCAGTGTTTCTGAAAGTGTTCCGTGAAATCACTTTGAGAAACACATTAACTGGCTACCCCAGTATTTATTTACTGGTGCTGTGGCCACGGAGCCTTGCGGCGCCCATTGGCTCCATTTCGTCCGTTGCCACAGGAAGCGGTGGGCTGGCCCACGCTGCTTCCCGTGGCTCCGCTTGGCTGCAAAGCTGGGAAAGAGGCGATGGGTTCATCCTACATATATTTCTTTCCTGTGTTCTCTCCCTCTGCTGCAACCAGAGTGTGGCTCTGGACTTTCATCACAGAACAGCAGCATCTTTCTGGGCTCTGTAATTGCTTCTCTGAGCAGCTTCTCACATTGTTTGGAATCGTCTATGGGCAATAAGGTCTACACACACAGCAGTACCTTCTATGGAAGTTCTTGGCTTCTGAAACCTTATAAATATGAGCCATTTTTCTCCACCTCAGTGATAAGAAATGTAGCATAGACAAGATGCCTAATCTGAAGTAGGGTTGGAGAACATGGCAGGTTAAAACAGCAACTGCCCACCTTTATTAGTGCTCCTATAGCTGCTGCCACTAATTCATTGCTGCACTTACAATTCTGGGAAATCGTATGGGAGGGAAAATACTAATGTAGACACACATTTACAGACTTGCAGAATGTATGCCTGAATCAAGGTTTGAATTGGAGCCTGCTTGATTGAGGTTGCATCAGTTTAATTACTGAATAACACGTGGAATAATTTTTCAACACAAGGAAACTCATTTGTACATCCAAAGTCACATGGAAACACATGCACCAACAATAGTGTGCCCAGATAGTCTGCTTTTGATGCACCAAGGGGAGCAGCATAATTGTTTTCTAGAATCCCAAATTAGCATATGAATTCAAGTTCCTGATTTGTGCATCTAGTCACAATTATTCTCCATGAAATCCGTGCACACAATTTTGCATGAAAAAGCGAGTCACTTAAAAAACACCCTATGCATTTAATGTATTTGCTCTGTAATAACCATGTGATATAATTGATGGAATTCCTGTCTCTGCTTTTAAATACACCTGCAGTATCAACTGTTTAGAAAATGCAGCAAGAAGCATGTTTGGAGGCGCGGGAAGACTTTCCGCTGGGGCTTGATATTGTATGATGCTTGATGCGGACAGCACTTCTTCACTTGTGCCTGATTAGTGTGATTATAAATGACACAGTGCGATAGGTGTTAGGTTTTTATTGATGTCATTTTTGCCAGCAGTGAACATTTTTTTCACGTAGCTCTGATTCTTCCTGCCATTTCCTACCATGTTACAGCTCATTGGTGGATCAATAATGGAGCAATATGCCACAAAGATGGCTGTATGGTGCCACTGAGAACTGTGCATTTTTCCTGAGGATCGCAATTAAACAAACACCTGTGTTAATCCATTCATGATGATACACAAACGAAAACAATGTACTTGTGCTGGTTTTTGCTGCTTTGTGATTAATAAAAAGCCTCCAATGCCTTTGTTTTCTGTATGCATATTTAAAGACATTAAAAACAATGAGTAGTCCTGTGGCACCCTAACAAAAGTAGATGTAGTATCATGGCCTTTCGTGGGCAAAACCCACTTCTTCAGATGAGCTTCCAAAGCTCATGATACTTTAAAAATGAGTAGTTCTGTAGCACCTTAGAGACTAACTCACTTTCTCTCTCTCTCTCTCTCTCTCTCTCTCTCTATATATATATATATAGAGAGAGAGAGAGAGAGAGAGAGAGAGAGA